CGCCGAGCCCGGTGCATGCAAAACAGATGAATGGATGCATGCATACAAAGCATAAGGTATGCTAAATAAAATATGTCCTAAAACTAACCATCGTAAGCGGTTAAGTAAAAGGGAGAAAGAAATGGGGGTTGGAAGACATGCATCATACACACGCATGCTTATTACAACTGTTGGCCCTCTCGAGGGAGAGACCGAATAAGAAGCTAACTAGCTAATCTAAGCTAATTAAACTAATTATTACAAAACAAATTAATTAACTAATCCTAGTTAACTAATTATTACAAAACGAATTGAATAGCTAACGCATTTACTAATTAAAGTGCAAACCAAAGCATAAGCAAGCTATCTAAGCATGGCAGCTAAGGAAAGCAGTAAAATAGGAGGTTCTCGGAGGGAAAGGAATGCATGCAAGCCCGGTCGCCTCGTTCGGAAATCCAATGCGATGCCCCGATTTGCCTCTGTTTTCATCTATCCTCAGAACCTTGCATCAAGCTCCAGAAAACTGAAACTTCACCTTGGGAGTCTTGTAGGAGGGTGGCCGACCACTTTTGGTCTCTCTAGACACCTGCCGACTACTTTTGGTTGTTGAAAAACCAGAAAAGTGGAATAACCAAAAGTGGTCGGCCAGCTAGTTTTTCTGGCTGGCTGGCCAGCCAGTTGTTGCTGCTGAATTGCAATTTGCTGCAACAGAGAGTAAGAACGGGCATGGCAATGTATTTGCAAGATATGTGTGCACAACCACCCTCCCTATCATGTCATGAACTCAAGGGAGTGTAGGTTCTCGACCCTCGGGCCACCAATCGCGTATTTCTATGCATGATGGCCGAGAGGCAAAGTTGCACAATTCAATATGAAATGAATGTACAAGTAAACACATAAAGCTTAAAACTCTATCATGTATGATCAAGAGCGTCGGCGACCGGGGATTAAGGCACGTTTCATCACTTTAAGTATGAAAATGAAACGTCCCTCGTTTCCCGTGTTTGGACTAACACCTATTCCAAACACAATGCAAGCAAGAAACAAGGCATGCACAATGCTATATAATAGAACCTTAGCATGCGAACATGCAACTACATGACATACTCAATGCAACTAGCAACCTAGCATACACAATGCAAGGCATAACATGGCATACACGATGCTAAATGCTAAGAACTGGATGGCATACTCAATGCAAGGCAATCATGAGGGTTCTTAACACAATGTAATGCATGCATGCACAATGCAATGCAACAAGGGCAACAATGTGCAATGCACCAAACAGGCAACAATGTGCAATGCACCAAACAGGCAACAATGGACTTAAACCGAAATGGACAGACCTCAGTCATGCCAAAACAGTGGCCATTGGTGATGAA